TTTTACGCTGAATGCCTTTCACACCAAACTTTCAGACTTTCCCACGATTTTTACGTATTCAGACTATCGTGTCCAAATAAATCAAAAATGTACGGTACGAACAATATACACAATAAGTGAAGTATAATTAAAACATAAAATGCTATTTTGAGAGTGACAATGTATTCGGGAATCCCATGTTTGTGTTTCATTCCTCTGTCCGAGCGTTTTGCACAGAAGTTGGTTGACATCAATATCTCGTGTTCGTCTTGCTGCCAAATGTATTTGGATCTGCTCCAGAGAAGTTGTGCGCTGTTGTTACGCTATCGTTTAACTTATGTCTGTTGTGGTGCCTCGGCCCTCTTCGCGCCATGCAGCCTAATGAACGTAAAGTTAGCATACCCACTTATCACAAAATTGAAAAAGAGTATCCCAGAATTTTGTTCTAATTAGGAACTAATTTATAGTCAAATTTAACAATTTTCTACCGATGCACATCAAATTACTCATCACTAAAGAGTTGGTACGCCAACTTAACGTTAAGTTAGCATACCCACTGACATATTATAGTTCCCAGACTTTTAGATTACAAAAACGAATTGTACGAATAATAAGTAAATCTCACCCACGTGATTCTTGTAAGGCTCTCTTTATTCATCTAGGTATTTTACCATTACCTTGTCTCTTCATATATGAATCAGTGGTTTTTGTCAAAAATGACTTACTTAAGGGCGGGAATATATTTTCAGCAAACGCCGTTGTCTATAACTAAAACACTCGACGTAGTAATCATATTCATCAGGTGACAGTATCAACAGCTCACTACAAAAAATTCACGTATAATACTTATACATTATTTTACAACATCTTGCCAAATGACATTAAACCATTAAATTCCATACAAAAGTTTAAGTCCGAAGTCAAATCTTATCTGCTGCACAACTGTTTCTATACAATTAGGGACTATACCGATTATCCAAAAGGAAAGCAATATTGATTTTAACAATGACATTTAATGTATTTTATACCATTTGGATTGTATAATTGTAAAGAACCTGTAACAAGTATTGAATTTAAGATTCTAGGTCAATGACCCACATCTCGGTCAGGTTTTCGCCCAGTTTCCCTGATCCACGGGTAAATGCTGAGATTGTCCCTTGTTTTGTATCTGGACATAAATTTAACTTGAATTAACTTTTCCCCATAGCACGGAACACACTGTTTTTAACTGTTTTTGACGTAAATAAATAAACAAGAACAAGGCATGTAACTAAAAAACCGCATATACCAGAATTTTGTTTTAATTATACCCAAATTTAAAAAATTCGAAACGACGCGTAACATCAAAATATTTATCGCCCGGGGCGGACGCCGCCTCCGCCCCCGCCCCCGCCGCCCCGGC